ACTTCTCCAGAACTTCTCAGCCACTTTCAGCTCAAGCCAAGCATCACATTAGCTTCCTGGGAACTTGAGGAAGCTAACCCAATCACTAGAACTCATTGAAAGCTGCTCAAACTCAAAACACGATACTCTCTTGCAAGGTAAGTTTTCGGACTTTTTAACTATTCATATAGGCATTATTAAGCTTTCATTTTCAAAGATAAAATGTAGATACCATTGCCACGAAGCCGTACATATCCATAGTTTGCATTTATATGGACTGAGCTTAGAGAATTTTAGAGTTGAAGTTTCTGAAATTTTTAGGTTTTAAATTAGGGCCAGAAAAATTCTCACTCATCTTTGACTTTTAACTTTGGTTATTTATATGGTTGGATTCGTGGGAAGAAATACCACAACTTTCATGTTTGTATTTTCCATTTTTGTTGAGAAATGAAGAAGTTACAGGTACTCTGGTTGGGCGTGAGGTTGAAGATGAAGTTCAGACCATGAACTTGATTTGTAATATATATTTATGGTTTGATATAAGTGAACGGATGTAAAGCCACCCCAGTGGTAAGGCAGCGCACTGGTAACCAAGAGGGTGTGGGTTCAACATTCAACGCACTGCCTTTTTGCTTATTTTTTTCACATTTCCATTTTCCTCTTTTGTTTGCAGCGCCTGGGCCCCATAACACTGGGCCTTCATTTTTTTTGCTAACTTTCCCCTTTGCCTTACTTCAGCACCCCCTGGCCCAATTTTCATTATTATTTTCTTTTTCTCATTTTTTTCCCTTTATTATTATTATTATTATTAATATATTTTTATTTTTATTAATAAAAATCCAAAAATATTTTATTTATTATTTTTACACTTATTTAGTTTATTTGTTTTATAAAACTAAAAGAACAAAAACATTTTCTTAATAAATTAATTTCTTTCTTAATAATTAATATTTAGGTTTATGTTTAACTATTATGTTATTTTCTTGTAATTAAAATTAATTTAGAACTTAGGTTTCTTTTAATTAATTAATATTCATATTATTTTTATTAATTTAAAACCTTTTCATAAATAAAACCCTAAAAATCCTTTTTTAGTTAATTTCTTTTATTATTTAGTTTAAGTTAATTTTATTTAATTTTCATTAATCATTTTTCTTAATTAGGTTTAGGTTAAAACCTTTTTCATGAAAACAAAACAAAATCATTTCTTTTCCATTTTATCTTCTTGTATATTTATTCAATTCTTGTACAATATTCAATATGGATTGATGTAATAGCTTAGTATTTTTATTTTTCGTAATTTAATGCTTTATATATAAATGCTAGTAAATTAGGGTTTATATTGAAAGATAAAATCAATGCTTAGAAAACCCTAATTCAAAGACAAAACAATGCATGTAAATCAATACACTTGCACACTTACACCCTTAGGGTAAATCCACTTTGTTGCCTTATGAAAATGGTCATAATACGCATGTAAGATGTCTTGGCAAAAACAAACAAAAATACAAGATCATAGTCCATCGATGACGCTACAAATGTTGCCTTACGAATGATCTTAGTCCCTTAAAGAAAATGCTAAGATATCTTACAACATTTCTATTCATGACTATACGATAACCCATGTCCGTTCCTTTTACATCCAAAGATAAGGTTACTTACCAATTCATGGTAAAATAACAATGTCAAAGGAAAGAGGAAATAAACAAGAAAGACTTTTGAGTAGGTAGAATGTTCTTAGTTGCTTGCTCATTTTCAAACAAAAACATCCTTGTTATTTTAAAAACAAACACCGACACTTTCAAAACATCTTTCAAACTTGAAACATTTTCAAAAGATCAACACTTTGTATACATTCTTACGAATGAGAATTATTACAAAGTTTGCCTAAACGATGGCGCCTTTTCAAAATACTTTCAAAAAACCACACAAAGCACATTTTCAAACAAAAGCAAGTGATCTAGAAAGCAACTAAGAGCCCGTAGATAACTACGGATGAAAAGGGTGCTAATACCTTCCCTTTTCATAATCTACCATCCGAACTCAAGAAAACATCTCAAAGGTCTTTCCTGTTCTTTTCAACCTTTCCTTTTGGATAAAAGAAAAGTCGGTGACGACTCTTGCTATCAGCAACATTTGCGATCAAACGCAAAACAACCAAGTCAATTCTCTCACCGCGTTACACACCCCACAGTGACACACTAGGACAAATAATCTCTTCTCAAGCAAATCTTTAAGTTGACTCTTCAACTTTTTCAATTCAGATGCTGACATCTGATATGAAGTCATCAATATCGGACTAGTTATAGGAACTAAATCAATTGTAAACTTCACCTCACGCTCTGGCGGTAAATCACTTACATCTTCATAAAATACCTCAGGAAAATCATGAACAATTAGTAAATCACCCGTCGCTCTCTTCTCACAAATATCTAATGTTGCCATAAAAGCCAACAACACGACACCATCCTGAACAAACTCATTCAGTTTTAATAGGGGCCTACGATCTAACATACACATGCCAAGGTCAGACCATGCTTTTTTAAGTAGAAAAGGCATATGCTTTTTTACAAGCATATTTAGTTAAATAGGTTAGGCCATAAGTCATATAAAAAGTCTTTTAAGCCTATCAAGACGACCTATTTTAATACATATGAATAAATTTATTATTTTTTATATTGTATTTTGTAATTTATATTAAAATACAAATGTAAAGTATAGTTATCTTGAAGAACTTGTGAAAATAAGTTGAAAAAATCTTACGAATAATGTCATATAAATTTATTATTTTTTATATTGTATTTTGTACTTTATATTAAAATACAAAAGTACATTATAGTTATATTGAAGAACTTGTGAAAATAAGTTGAAATTTTTTTACGATTAATGTCATATGTGGTTTTCATAAATTCTCCCAAACAAATAATATCACAAAACTTATGGTACTATGTAAGTTAAAATAAGTCAATATAAACAAATATTTAATCTCATTGTACTTTTGATTCTCTAGTATATTTAAATATTAGTTGAATTTCTTATTTATATATGTTCAAATGATATAGGTTTTTTAAGCAGACTAATAGGCTAATAAGGCCTTCGAAAAGGCCAAACCCAGGCTGAAAAATAAGCCTATGATAGGCCACAAGTCAAACTTAGGCTTTGAAATTTTTAGTAAGCCAGACTCAGGCTTGTCAAAGTCTATCTCGACCCAGTCTATTTACCCTACGTGACACCCCATATATCCCTTTTGGCCATAATACCCTAATAGTTAAATAACACATTTTTCATTATTGACGATAATTTTTTTTTGTTTTTCAAAAAACTTAGATTTGTACCAAAGATTTTGTAGTATATAGCGAATATTTACAAGTAAGTGTTGTTTTTTATATTAAATTTACGCATTTACACCATCAATTTTGATAGAATACTGTATATTTAGTGGAAATTATCTTTTTTTAAACCAAATTTTTGAAATCGTCGGTACCAAAATTATGCAATTTAGAAATGTTCGGTAAAATACAAAATTTTGTTTGCATTTTTATCAGTAATTTAGAAATATGCAGTATGCATGTATGTGTTTATATCGATATTTTAGAAATTGATGGTAAAAATACATATATGGATACCGACAATGTCTAAAATGTCGATATAAATATATACATGTACACCACATATTTCTAAAATGTCGGTATATGCAGGGGTGTGATCAGATAATTTTAAAAAAAATTGTTTAGGACTTTTTTTGCTTGTAGTAAGGAGAAAAAGAGGAAACGACAAGATTATTCCTAATTTGAGCGAGAGAGCAACTGTAGAGAGCTCTGGTGGAGTCGCAAAAGATGATGGAGATAAATTACATACTAGGGGGGTTAGATCAATCCCCACGAGTTCTTATAGTAGTAGGATTAAATAGTCTTGCAGACCCGTCATGTCGAATTTAAAGAGGTAGAGTTGGACAAGCTCAAGATCATGATGTCGACACGAGATAACTTGCCGGTTATTTGAGTTTATACCAGGTATGAATATTTTTTATGTTTTACTTATTTAGTTCTTATTTATCAAAAACATCTTGTATATGTAATTTGTGTTTATTGTGCAGTGTTAGACATACGAGCATTTCCCGTCCTTTGTGACAAGCGTGATCATGGTCATATCAGTGATGGCTCATCTCGAGCCACCAGATGTAGGTCTTAACATTCACATTCAGGCATTCTTCCAGAGTACAAGAGGATTCCCAATGCTATGAACATCGATGATGTCATTTTGACACCCTATGCAAACCATATAGTGCATCGAGAGTTTGATGACACTGCCCTTTTTGGGTTATTTGTGATGTGGGAGTTATGTGGCTAGATTTTTACTTGAGAGATATCCACGCAATTTTGGGTATGTTCAAGATATTTCTATAGCAATCCCTAATATTCCATACGAGGGAATTGATATATCGTTTAGGTCTAACATTGTCTTCAATGCCATTGATATTAAAGATAATGCAGATGAGATGTCTTTTCTTGGACAATATCTGAATGATTATTTAGAGTGGTACTTTAGAGTATCACACCCCCGCATCATTTCACATGTTCATCCTACAAATGATGTTGAATCTTTTCATGACAGAGTACCTTCAGATGACGTGTCACCGCGGCCTCTACTACCTCCACTTAGTATGACTGACTAACAATATGTGCACATGGTAGCATTCCTTCAAACAATATATTTCAGAAAATCAAGAGAAGTGTTATTTATGAGCCTAAAACCAATAGTAGTTTTCACGCCATCATTGAAATACACAAATGCGAGTTATCTAATCGGAGACAATGCAACTGAAGGGGTGCCAAATAAATTTCTCTTGAAATACCTTGTAAAACTGTATTTATTTTGAAGCCCAATAGACAATCATAAACTCATTTAAGCCCGACCCATTTAATTGAAACACAGTTTTTTCATTTTTTATTTATTCATAGATCAACTCTTCGGGTTTGAGTACTTTCCTGTATCATCAAGCAAAACGAGCAGAGAAGAAGATGATTATCCCCGTTCGTTGTTTCACCTGCGGAAAGGTTTCTCTACTCATCCCAATACTCTCTTCCTTCCTCGTTTTCCCGCACGATTTTCAAATTTAGGGTTTTGGTTAATTCATGCTAAACGATTTTCAAATTTAGGGTTTTGGTTAATTCGTGCTAAACGATTTTCAAATTTAGGGTTTTGGTTAATTCATGCTAAACGATTTTCAAATTTAGGGTTTTGGTTAATTCATGCTAAATTCGTTTCATTTTCTTCTTATTAGGTCATTGGAAACAAATGGGATTCATATCTCGACTTTCTCCAAGCTGATTACACTGAAGGGTTCGTACCTTACTCACTCCCTTTTCCTATTTCTCTCTCTAGGGTTTTTTGTTTATTTATCTGAATATTCTATTCTAGTTACAGATAATTTTAGGGTTTTTTCCTGAATAGCCTTTTCATTCAAGATTTAGGGTTTATTTCGATAAACACCTCAATTAAGTCTTTATAGTATACTAGATTATTAGGTATCTACTAGATTTCTTGACAGCATTTCAGTGTTTTATCTTCTGAATAATGTTAGTATAAACATAGTGTTGGATGGTTTGCAGAGATGCACTGGATGCTTTGGGCCTGGTTCGTTATTGTTGTAGGCGCATGCTTATGACCCATGTTGACCTTATTGAGAAGCTACTCAATTACAATAGTAAGTTCTGCCTATATTACTCTTTTGTGTGTCAATTTTCTAACATTAGTGGGTTTGCATTGATCATACGCGCATTTGGTTGCAGCTATGGAAAAGCATGATGCCAATTAAGGATTCTTACCAAGATGTGTCAGTTGCACTGGTAGTCCTGTAGTCTTATAGTCTTATGTCAATGGTTTTTTATGGTCCTTTGCAGCTTATATTAGTTTTTAAATTTACTATGTGTGATGCAAAGCTCTGTTTTGGTGTTAATTGATGTACAATGCTACGATAGACTGAAACTGTAAAATGGAATTTTATGGATATGGGACTGATGTAAGAATTTAATCAATGCTTAGGAATTTTGATATGTTGCAACACATTGACAAAGTCACATCTACCATTTTCGTACACGATAAGCTTTAGAATTTGAGGGTGCCTCTCCTACCATTACCAGATTAACCAAGAACATGAATTATAATTCAAATACTCGATTAATAAACAAATAAAAAACAGGGGCAATCCTGATCCATGTCTTGCAAGGGTTTGACATGGTGAATTTCCAACAAAAGTTTCAGTGTCACTGTTAAAAATGTTGCAGAACTGAATAGCTTCAAAAGACAACCTCTTTAGAAGAGGCATTCTAAACCAAAATCTTGTTTGGGTGTTTATTTGAAGAGGCACTCTCTAAACCAAAATCTTTTATTTGTAGCAGGTGTTTCCCCTGCAGTACTTTTTGCACTCTTATGTCCTTTGGAGGTAGAATTGCATGCATACGAACATTACATATTCTTATCTCTAAACGAGGTAGAATTGCATACATACGAACATAAACCCCTAGTGTTACAAACAATCAATAGAAATGAGACAAATAACTAGTTTTTATTTTTTTTACAAAAACATTAATAATAACTGAAAAATAAAGATATATTACAATAATATTTAAAATAGGTAGTTTATTTTTGAGAAATAATAGCATTAACAACTGTATCATTTAACAAGTTCTCTCCCATTTTTTGTCAAAATTTCAATTTCTACAGTTATTTCAGCCTCTCACCATCGCATGTTTTCTTCTTTCTTGTTGGTAAACGAGTTTTTGTTTGTCTGGTTTATTATTACTGTTTGTTGGCTTTGGACCAGCACTATGTTTGTATTTTGGTTTGGACAACTTGTATGTTCCAGTAAATCTTCGCTTGATAAGTAACTTGGCAGTTCCTATCAATTTTCTTATTTACTACTAATAGATATAATTGATTTTTTGACAGGAAATAATAAAATTGAGCTACTGATTAAATTAGATATAAAAATGAAATTCATATTCTAACTTTTTGTCAAAAGTATATATACTGCACATATTTTTAAACAGTATATGCATGCAAAACATTTAAGAGTGATTGCATTATGGTTAAAACTCCTTTTCAATACTAATGACATGTAGACAACACAACCAAACCAGATTAATCAATATCCCACAAAGATTTTAACTTAAATGCAAATTGGAAATAGTATTAATCGGATATGTATATTCGAACTTACTTTTTTCTCTCTCTATAAAATACTTAATTTTGGAGATACATATCTAAAAATATCTTATTTTTTTTAAAAAAAAAATGTATTTTCATGATGTGTTTCCATATTAGATATCTGAGAAGATAGGCGGGGTAGCCTATCAGATTACTTTACCGCTGTCATTTGTGAATCTTCATGATATATTTCATGTATCCCAACTGAGGAGGTACATTCCAGATCATTCACATGTGATTCAGATGGATGATGTACATGTGAGGGATAACCTGACTGTTGAAGCATTACCATTGAGAATAAAAGGTCGTGAAGTGAAGCAATTGTGAGGTAATGATATTAGCTTAGTGAAGGTGTTATGGGATGGACCAGCCGGTGAAAGTTTGACTTGAGAGCGTGAGGATCAGATGAGGGAGTCGTATCCGATAATTCTTTAGGTGGGAGAGAGTTATAACACCCCAACTTTTAGAAGTTATTTATTTAATGAAGAAAAAATACTCATTTTGGTCCCTTAATCACACCCTTGGGTTCATATTGGTCCCTTAATTTTTTGTCACTTTGGTCTCTTAACTTTCAAAATATTTCATTTTAGTCCTTTCTGCCTAATTAGCGACGGAAAAACTTTGAAATTCGTCGCTAATTGGATAAAAAGGACTAAAATGAAACATTTTGAAAGTTAAAGGATCAAAGTGGCACAAAAAAAATTAAGGAACCAATCTGAACCTAAAGATATAGTTAAGGGACCAAAATGAGTATTTTGCCTTCAATGAATTATTAGGAGTGTTTACAAATAATTGATATTTTATAGAAATATATGTGTGATGTATTGGCATATGATTGCTTATGATGTGGAACATGTGATGTGAATGTAAGGATTAGATGCATTGGAATAATTAGATGGTTATTTGGTAATTATTTGGGTTATTTTCTAGAATAGAATAATAGAAATAATTATTTAAATAGAGTTATTTTAATTAGAGTGGTATGTTGATAATTAGTAGGAAGAGTGAGAACATGATGGTAAATAGAGGGTGACTAAGTGAGGGCAATTGAGAAAGAAGTTAGGGGTCCTTGTGACAACAGAGAAATATAGAGAGTGATACGATTCATTATGTGCGATCAAAATATTAGGAGAAGAGCAAGAGAAGAGGCTAGAGCACAGAGGATTAGAGAATCATTGTAAGAGGCACGAAGAACATAATCAATCACTCGAAACAATAAGGTAAGGGGGTTTTATCTGATTATTATGTTTGATCTAAGTGGTAGATAGTTGTAGAATTTTTTTCTTATTGTAGTTGTTTAGTCATTGGCATGCATTTTTGGTAAAACCAGGTGTGTGAATGTCATGACTGATGTCATAACATTCTAGTTTATTAGGTACTGATTCATTAGGTACCTTTGCAGAAAAATATTGTCTTACAGGGGCTGCTGTTTATGAGTGTGTATCTGAGCATTTTGCAAAAAGATCACATTTACCAAAATCAGTAGACAGGATTTCAGATGTCATAACAAATGTTAAGACATCCTGTTCTGAACTAAAAGTTATGCAGTTTGGGTAATTCTGAGTTTTTTCAGGAAAATGACTCAGTCTCTCCAGAAAAGAAAATCTCGTGGACTTGGGGTTAACCTAGCTCAACTCTAACCTGGTTGATAAAGTCCTGTGACCAAGTCTTAAGGTCAAACGGAATTAACCCTAGCTTTTTGTGGAAACCCTAACTGAAGATGCAACTGTTATATATTCAACAGGGCTGCTGTTTGGAATCAACCCCTTTCTGATAGAAGATCATTTAGAAGTTGTATAGTTTTAACTATTGTAATCCAAGCAAGTATCATTGTGATAAGTGACTTGGAATAGGTTTTAATTGTAAGGGTTGTGTACCACTCAAAGCTTTGAAGCAAGAGTGTTTTTGTGTCTCTTGACTAAAGCTTTGAAGCAAAGTCAAGTTAGGTTTATGTATCACTCAAAGCTGTGAAGCAAGAGTGTTTGTGTTGCTTGATTAAAAAGCTGTGAAGCATAATCAAGTGTATGTTTTGAAGAGTGTCTTCATCAATTCATTAGTCAAATTGTTTTAAGTATCACTGCTGTGATTGAGGGGAAGTGAGCAGGAACTCAGGTTTAAGTTGTACTTAGATTGAAGTTGCATTGGGTAGGTCTTAAGTGAAGGAGATAAACTGGTTGGTTTATTCCTGAATTAATATCTCTTATAGTGGATTTCCTCCCTGGCTTGGTAGCCCCCAGAGTAGGTGTTGTTGCACACTGAACTGGGTAAACAATTGACTGTGTTCTTTACTGTTTTTGTATTTACTGTCTTATAGAAAGTCAGATACGGTGTCATAACATTGAACGTGACATTGAGTATCTGCAGCCAGAATTTCAATTGGTATCAGAGCAGGCACCCTGCCTGTATTACTGGATGAGATCTAGGGATATCACTTTCTGGCACTATGGACAAAGAAGGAGTTTTTGGAAATAGACCACCCATTCTGGATGGAACAAATTATGACTACTGGAAACCTCGTATGATTGCCTTCTTAAAATCTCTGGACAAAAAGGCTTGGAGAGCTGCTGACAAAGGATGGAACCATCCCACCATAACTGAGAAAGATGGGACAATCAGTCTGAAGCCTGAGGAAGATTGGAGTAAAGAAGAAGATGAGTCAGCCCTGGGAAATTCCAAAGCTTTAAATGCCTTGTTCAATGGAATTGATAGAAACATTTTCAGACTAGTACATCAATATGAACTGGCCAAGGAAGTTTGGGACACTCTCAAAACTACCCATGAGGGCACTTCCAAAGTAAAAATGTCAAGGTTTCAGATGTTGACTACCAAGTTTGAGAATCTAAAAATGATGGAAGATGAAACCATTCATGAGTTTCACATGAACATCTTGGAGATTGCCAACACCTCAGGAGCACTGGGAGAAAAGATGTCAGAAGAAAAATTGGTGAGAAAGATTCTCAGATCCTTGCCTAAAAGATTTGCAATGAAGGTAACTGCCATAGAGGAAGCCCAGGACATCAGCAAGTTGAAAGTGAATGAACTTATTGAGTCTCTTCAGACTTTTGAGATGGGGATCACTGAAAATGGTGACAAGAAGAACAAGAGCATAACACTTGTATCCAACACTGATGTTGAAAACAAGGAGGATGAAGAAGAAAATATTTTAGAAGCTATAGCCATGCTTGGAAGACAGTTCAACAAACTCATCAAAAGAATAGATCCAAAGTCAAGGTCTAATGTTCATAACATTCCCTCTGACATTGACAGTTCCAGCAGAAGACCAAGGTCAGAAGAGAAGGGAAATCAAGGCAGAGGAATTCAATGCCATGGTTGTGAAGGATATGGGCATATTCGAGCTGAATGTCCTACCTTCCTTAAGAAACAAAAGAAAGGAATGACTGTTACCTGGTCTGACTGTGATTCAGAAAGTAATTCTGAAGAAGAATCTACCAAACTAGTTACTGCTCTAACTGGTGTTTGTACCTCTGAAAGTGACACTAGTGATGAAGAAGTGACATTTGAAGAACTGGCTGATACTTACAAGAAATTGTGTATCAGAAGTGCTGAAGTCTGTGTGCAGAATGAGAAACAATCAAAACTCATCATAAA